AATGGAATCCTGCACAAATAAATAAACAACGCCAGTAATTGAGATAGAAAAATAAGTATATTAAACGTAAGAATACAGACTCGAAGTGAAGATAAGTAGTCCAGGAATGCGGGTTAGTAGAAAGTATATGTACAAGTCTCTGTAGGTAAAGCCGTAATCATCTCTCTCTTTGGACTCTTGTATAACTCTCTGAGAACACTCTGTGTCTGTCTCCGTATCTCTCAACCTGTCTCCACGTATCTCAACGTATCTCGATATTTAACAGTCCACTCACGATGAAGGTATGTAGCACATGGCCGAGTTTAACGTAGGTTTCTCGGAGCTCGTAGGCTCAGCCCAAAATATCCCCTTTAAACCTGCATAAGCGGGTTCGGGAACAATCTACCTCCCCGGACGAAGCTTTGCCGAAGGGCAAAGCTTCGTCCGGGTTCCTCCCTGCCAAAGCAGAGAGTTTGACAGACGTCGAGACTGTATCTCGACGTATCTCAGTATTTAATATTCCGCCCACGAAGAATATATGTGGCACAAGGCCGAGTTTAAAGTGGGTTTCTCCGAGCCCGTAGGCTCGGCCCAAAATATATCCTTTGAACCCGCCTAGACGTGTTCAGGGCCTGTCTACCTCTCCGGACGAGACCTTGCCCTTCGGCAAAGCCTCGTCCGGGTTCCTCTCTGCCAAAGCAGAGAGTTCAACAGACGTCGAGACTGTATCTCGACGTATCTCAACTGCAGGTATTCTCTCTGTCAGTATAAGTATACTTTGGACGAGTCCATCTTATGTAAAAAGGGGAGAGCCCCACAACATTTATTTAGAATATGTAAGAAAAAAACAGAATGTTATATTGAGGCAAGTTGTGAGATTTTATTAGATGTAAAGTTTTGTTGTGATTTTGAAGAAAAACGTAAATATTACTGATTTTTAATTATGATCTATGCCTTAATTTTAATTGTTATTGACACAGGCTTTCAGCCGATATATTCTTCAAAGGTTCATCATTTCATTTAAAAATAGTGAACAAATAAGTAATTTTTCGCTCATCAATTATTTCAAGTGATATACATCAAAGTGTGTGCGTGTTCGAATTTACAAACACCTAGAAATAAGATGGCTGTCAAAAATAACTTCCATTTATAAATGTTTTAAGAAAAAGTTTTTAATATTTGAATTTACAAAACGTCATCAAAATTCATAATTGAAATTTCGTACAAAATTAAGTCTAAAATTTGGGAATAACAAATTATTCTTAAGCCTAATATTTTCTAAAGTTCCAAGATGAAATGCTTTCATTATTTCAAATAATCTTTGAACTAATGTTTTTATTGTTACTGACAATATTACAGCCAATACATTCCTCAGCCTTCCTCATGTGACTTTGTGCAACCGATAAGAAATGAAAAGAAAAAAAGAAACTACAAAATGTATTGTCAGTACCATATACAACATGCACCTGAAGAATGCTTATGAAAATATTGACTAAAATATTGTATTATTAACAACAAAGATGAAGACAACAGTCCAAATAAGACATCAAATATTCTTATACATCTTATGTCCTCGAAAGCATTTTTGTATTTTATTTTTTTTAATTCTTTAGATTAAAAAATATATCCGAGTTTGTAAATATTTTCGCCTTTGAATAAAATCTTTAGAAAAAAATGAATGAAAATCCTTTTGCTGTGAATTTTGTGTGTTTATCTTTTGAACAAAAATCTTTGTCATGAAGTGAAGTTGTTTTTTGAATGATTACAAGCTAAATATTATTATGAAAACAGTAATAACAACAAAACAGACGTTCCTATTTTTTTAAAATGTGATACTAACCTTCATTTTTATTTTAAACGTATTGCAATAATTCAAATATCTTCTTCCAAGTTTAAATTTTGTTTAATTACAATAAAATAGCACAAAATGTATTCTAGCAAAAGAAAACTTACTTTTTGTCTACTGAAAGAAGGTTTTTAGTAAATGATTCATGTGTAATATTCGAGGAAAGCATGTAAAGACGGAATATAGGAAAATCAGCTGGATGTTTAAAATGTTATTTTCTCGTTGACAATTTTCCTCTTTCACATGAGCATTATCAAAATATAACTAAAGAAATTAAAGGATATGTGTTTACCATTGGTAAACCTGATAGATAAAAGCGTTGTAGTCAATTTGAAAAAAGAGTTAACAGTTAACAAAATTTTTAAAAATTATCCATGAACAAAACACTAAGATTTATACATAGGAAATATGTTAAAATGAAATATATGCTGCTTGGACATAAGAAAATAAAAACTGATTATGTTGTTGTTTTTGTCGCTGTTGTTTGTTTCTTGTCATTCAAAACTAATGAGATTAATCTATGATTCCTGAAAGCAAGATTAGATTAAAGGACTGTTGAAGTAGGAGTGACCAAAAATAGCAAAATAAAAACGAATTAATTTCTTATATTGTTTTGTTTTTTGTGAGTCGGAGTTACAAACAACCAAGAATAAGCAAAGAAAATATTTTTATTATTTTCTTAACGATATCCCATACATGCTAACTATGTCATTTTTCTAAGTATGAAAATAATTTCAACTGTCTCTCCCGGATGCTAAGTATAATTTTTCTTTTTGGAGGCATTCCAATTTATCCAAAAACTCGTCGTTGCTCACATACTTAGTCCATGGTACTCTCGACATCTTTCAGTAGTATCGTATTTTTATTGCTTCAAGTCTCTTCTTCATCTTTGAAGAGATTGTCCAGCATTCGCCGCCATATACGTGACAGTTTAGGACTATTTTTTTTGTGTTTAACGATTTTTTTTCTGTTTCTTAATACTCTGCTTAGTTTTGGGAAGGCATTTTTTACTATCCCAATGCGCCTCTGAATTTCAGTGTCGCATATTCCGTCCTCTGTTAAAGCTCTTCCCAGATGTTTCCATAAATAGATTCATTCATAAATACACCCATTCATGAACAAATACATACCGCAAAACTTAATCTGAGGAAAGTTTAGAGGAGTCGGAAAGAGTTCGATGAATCTAATGGTGATTACGAAAGTGTTTGAAGTGATCTCTAGTGATGGCGAGGTTATGCCTCCATTCATCTTTCCAAAGAGCCTAGGACTCAACACGTGAGCCTACATGGAGTGCCTTGGTGAGGTAGTTTCGTCCTTTAGGACTTCATCGAACTAAATTGGTTATGTTGGTGCGACTACACATGCGCATGAGTGAGGGATGCTGGGAATTTTTAATTTTTATTTATTTATTTTATTTTAATTATTTATTTATTTTATTTTAATTATTTTTTATTTTAATTATCTTTTTATTTGATTTGATTATTTTTTTTTTAAATCTAGCCGACTTCATTTAGATGATTTTTTCTTTTTGTTTCCATCACTTTTGTTCTTAGATATTCCACACTGTGATAATAGATGTTCTGCCAGAAATGGTGTAATGTTGTAAGAGCAAGGGCTCAAATTTACTGTGGATGACTTTGCGATCAAGTCGCTCTCTAAACATTTTCTCCTTTGATCAGAGTAACATTTTTTATGTCAAAATTGTGGTCAGTCTCGTTCGGTGGGCAACCAATGCATTTGATGTATTTTTCGTCCGATTAAGTCCTAAAGGGCGAGACGCCCAAACGAAAACTTTTTACACTTTGTCATATATTTTTCCCCCATATTGTTCTCGATATATAAAAATTATATCGATATCTCATTATATTACAACAAAATTTCAATGTAATTTAATGCTATTCGCATGGTTATAATAATAAAAAAATGTAAGACAATAAGTCCGAATGTCTTATTTTATATGGAGTATTATAAAAATAGGTAGACAGAATAAAAGAAAAAAGGCAAAATTGCCACGACTATTTGTGGTTTTCAAAGAACCATAAGAAATAAAGGCGTTACATTGGCATAAATGGAATATCTTTTGGGCTGCATGGATTGATGATTGCAATCAAAAACAGATTTCTCTTAGCCAAGCTGCCGTTCAGGCAAAAGTTTTAAATTAGCGAACAAAAATAGAAAAAGATAACGAAGAATACTTTTATTTTTACTGCAAGCGTTCCTTAGTTCGATAACTTTTAAATATACGTTTTCCAATGAATAGACGGCAACTAAATATCCTGGTGATTTTAAGAAAAGCATCCGGGTAGTAATAATGCTTTGCATTCAGTTGGCCGTTATTCGGCTCCTGAAAAGCATCCTTATCTGACAAAAAAAAACTTGGAAGTTTTTCTAAAAAGTTTGAAAGCGTTGAACGAGAATTAACAAATAATAAGGAAATGAAATAAAGAAAGAATTTGACTTTTGGCTGACATTCAAAACACGTGGATTTTTTTTTTTTTTTTTTTTTCTAAATTTGATACACTTCTATTGAGTAGGAAAACTCTGGTTTTCATCCAAATACAACTTTCTTTCAAAATTTGCAGCTAAATATTCAAGATACGATCTCCTAAACCAGATTTTCGCTAAAAACAACTTAAAATACCGAATTGGTTAAGATGGTTATGATGAAGCCAAGCTTGGAGAAATTACAACTTATATGGACATATCACAGGCAGAAGTGACATGGGTGTAGTGGACCATCTACGTAACCAGCTAGAGTGAATGGCGTGGGGGATGAAAAAAAAAACAAACCTTACTTAGAGCTACAAATAATAGAAAATGAAAATCATGATCATCCACGTCCTGAAATGACATGGTACAAAGAAAAAGACGAAGATATATTAATGTTCACCTACACTAGGCTCATTAACCATAACCCCACTCCAACGCACCTTCTTATATGATAAATTATTGGAGCATGACAAAAAGGCAAAGACTGATAAGAGCTACAAGGAATAGAAAGTTGTGGATGTCCTAAAAGAACATGATAGAAAGAAGTAGATTAGTAGAACAAAGAAAAAGACGAAGATATATTAACGTTAATCTACACTAGGCTTATTAACCATAACCCCACTCCAAGGCAACTTGCTTATGTGACCAAATCAAAGTGTTTAATCATTAAAGTTAAGCCATGTCGATGCTTATCATTACTTATATCAGTGACCGTATCAGTCTTGTGAATGCTTCGATCTATAGTAAGTTTCATTAATAGGTGACCGATTTAATTAAACTCATAATAGTATTTAAATAAACAGCCAATTGTCTTGCATAAAATATATTAGACACAGAAGTACATTAGAATAGTAGATATCTGAAGGAATTTATACATACTCTCTCCCTCTTTGCTATATATAGCATAGAAATAAATACCCTATGGGAGAGATTAACAAAGAAAGAAAGACAAAAGGCAGTGGAGAAACTAAAGTTTGCAGTAAGGCTTCAAAAACATTAATAAAGAGAAGTGACGACAGAGGCGCTTAACCATTACAGCAAGGCAGACAGGCAATAAGATTATGTTGATAGTTCCAAATTCTAGCTTCGGGATTGTCCCCATCGGACAATATTTTAGAGTTTTAAAGCGGTGGTTCGTTGCATGTTAATTGTGAGTTCAATCCCTTGGTCGGACATGACAGATTTAGTCTAAATAGTGCAAGCAATAATTTAGCAATACTTAAAAACAGAATAAATCCAAATTCCATGAGGGCTGCCTGAATCGATAGACACCAGAAAAAGGCCGGAGATCACAACAGCCAAAAACGTTATTATCATATCAACAAAGTAGACAACATTTATCATATCAACAAAGTAGACAACATTTAATTGGGGGGAATAATATTGTGCTGTCTGTGCGAATAAACATGCTCGGTTAAAATTTTAATCTTCCTTCTTTTTTGTAAAGATCATTAATGATCTTCTTGAGGTTTGCTAACTTTGAAAAGAAACCTTGAGTCTCTGTACTTCTACTATGCTGCTCTTCATCACTAATGGAATACTGTGTAATTATGTGATAAATTGACTGTTGCATCTCTGGCTTATTTTATGTACTATAGTGTAACTCGCCAATTCTTGTCCCATCAATGGATGAGAAACAGTTACTAAGATCTGATGTTGGATGATGAGCTCCATAGGAAAAACTGCAGCAATGCTGATGGCTGTTTTTTATCCATGTGGAAATTCTAACTAAACGATTATAATTAATCCCAAGTTGTTCTATTCAAATTAAAAACAGAATTGCTCAGTTTGAAGCCAAAGAACATATTGAAAAAAATATATATACCGGTTGTTTTTTCGTTGGACACCCTTTCTATAGGTTAAATAAAGACTAAATAAAGCAACATTTTATTGAATATTGTGCATCGGAGATTCACTCTACAACACGCTATGTAAAAAAAAAAAAAAAAAAAAATAAGATATTTATACTGTGGCTATCTTAAAAGTAAACAATAAGCTTGTATGACTGGCAAATATATTATTATTATGAGATCTATTTTATAAGATAACAGTTTTTAGCAGGTTTATAAGCCAACGTTGCTAATTTTAAGGAAGAACTTCACTAACACAGTCAGCAAAATACAACATCAGACGACGAAAGCACAACACCAATTATTTATTTGATTCCGCTCAGCAGCTGACCAAGCAAACCACAATGAAAGTTCGACAAATCATTATTGTTCTGAGTTTATTTATCGCAAATATTCGCTGATAACTGAAAGAGAGCAGCAAGAAAAATAATGGATAAGATTTTTTTTCTATTAGGGTCATCAAATGAACCTCAGTGAGCTCGTTACTTAGAGGTTTTAACCTTGTACCATCCTTTTCCGCTCTGCTCTGTACAAATACGCTTTCCATCTACCTACTGCAAGCTGCTACTTATTTCTGCTACAATCTCTCAATGTGAGTTAGATTGCCTGTTGGAGCGGAAAGTGAAATTGGACATCCACTGTGCGCATGACAACTGTTAATTGTAAACTATCGTGTACCATCACGAATTTTGAAACATTCCGTTGTTTTGATATCGGAGATTTTCGAAACCGTCCACTTTACATTTATATCGTAGGTTTTAGAAGTTGATAATTTAAAAATTCTATTATGAATTCATGAAAAGTATGTCGTGTTATATTGTCCCCGTTTTTACTAAGTGACTTCGTGTTGGCCTCTTCTCATCTTCTTGTATGCGTTGTGTTCCTTTAGGGCGTGGACGATCCTGGCTTCCCACAATTTCCTATCCTCTGTAGATCTAATTAATATTTACCTAATCCATGTTTTGTCATCCATTTACACTATCTCGCTTGATATTTTATTCGTCGTTTCTCTCTGCTGATCTTACCTTTAAGCCACCGTGATTACACAATTCTCCAAACTTTATTATGCATATCAGAAAACTAGTACTTTCCGTGTAGAAGTACAAGTATCCTTTTTGCCTGCGTGTTTTTTAAAATGTCCTCGTTGCACGCATATTCCGTCCATGATGTGGAACGATTATATTAAATCAATCTCTATGGTTGCTACTAAGAAAATTGGTTCACTATGTCATTCTAAAAGATTTCCCTAAGCTGAGTCTATCCTGAAAATGTATAAGGTTACCATTCGTCTATACATTGAAGATTAAATTTCTACTTCGAAGTTTAAATCTGACACAGACATGTAGATTTAACATTTAAAATTTTTGTTTCGTGTTAAGAGAAAATCGATTTATAAACTTTTCTTCGTAAAAAAAAATTTCTACCCATCTATGTATAGGAAAATAAAAGAAGCATTTGTGGTGTAACAGTTGCTTATATAATGTTTTTGTTTTAAATATTTTCACCCCAGGTAAGGCAATATAGCCATTAAGACACAAGGGGCTACTGAGAGTAAACGAATGTGAAGAAAAAAAAACTTTCTACCCATTTTAGAATAGGAAAATAAAAGAAGCATTCGTGGCGTAACGGTTACTTTAATAAAGTGTTTTTTTTTGTTTGTTTTTTTGTTTTTTTGTTTTTTGTTTTTTTTTAATATTTTCAACCCAGGTAGCCATTACGACACAAAGGACTACTGACAGTAAAAGAATGTGAAGAAAAAAAAACTCTTTTGAAGAAGTGCGAGTAAATAAACTATTGCCATAAAACATATGGTTACATCTAGCAAATTCAACAGGAAAATGATGTGACCTAATTACCAATATTGACCTGCGCTTAAATTCATGAAGTCGAGTTACCAAAGAGGAAACCTCTTCAAAAAAATTACCGCGAAAATATATATAGAAAATGTTCAGGGAAGTTTTGTTAATGTGGTAGGAAAATAACTGAAGCCGAGATGACAGGTGAGGATTGATAACATTGCAGTATAAATAGTAATACTCGATGATAGGAAGTTTAACGACCCCGGAAATAGAATCAGGGAAGTGAATTTGAATCCAAACTAATGTTATGTATGCTCTCATTGTAATAATAAAAACCTTTGGGGAAGGCATATATAGACTTCACACCATGTTAATAATAAAATAAAATGACAAAATGCCACTGGTTGACGATAAAAATAGATGGCAGAGAACCAGTTTCCCATAATTACATTAATGGACAGACAATAATAAAAGTAAAGTTAACTTGACAGGATCTAGATATAAGTATATCTTGAATGAAAGTGACATTTCAAGAAGTACATTGGTGTGATTTTTGCCTTTCCGCATTTGGATACAATTTTCAGGTCGCGGGATTATTAACTGGAAAATGTTGCGGGAAGGCATACAGTTTAGCCTACGGTTTTCTCACAGAAAAAAAAATAGACGATTGATATTTTAGCAGTGTTCTTTTGTTTTAAAAAAAATGCTCTTTTTCCTGCCACAATTTCTGAAGCAGATGTGAAATGTTCGAAATCAAAGAAAAACACAAAACATATATAGCCCTTGTAAAAAAAACAAAATGGTTCTCTATTGAAAAGCTGGAACTTGACAACGCGCCGATAAAAAAAAAAAGAGAATTAATGACGTGAGATGAAGTTATTAACTCAACATATATCTAACATCAGGCTATTTAGGGTTTGAGGAAATAGATGTTTGACGAAGATAATTCAGATTCTACTCGAGGTTTTGGTATGTAGTTACTCCAAAATGTAACAACCGAAGGCAGTTTCCCGCCTTTCTCTCTGTATCTCACTCTTTTTCTTTCTTTCCTGCTGGTCTTTTTTCTTTCTTTCTTTGTGTATTTATTTATTTATTTCAACTCTCTCTCTCTCTCTCTCTCTCTCTCTCTCTCTCTCTCATTTTCTATCTGTCTCTTTCTACTTCTCTCTTTACTTACTCACTCTGTTTGTCTGTTTTCCCTATCTCTCTGCGTCTTCCCTTTCTCTTTCTTTCTTACCTTTTTCTTTCTTTCTCTCTTTATTTATTTATTTCTTTATTTATTTATTTCACCCCTCTCTTTCCTTTTTTGTCGCTTACTACCTCTCTCTTTACTTACTCTATCTGTCTGTCTCTTTTACCCTATCTCTCTGCCTCTGTCTTTCTCTTTCTCTTCATCTCTCTCTCTCTCTCTCTCTCTCTCTCTCTCTCTCTCTCTCTCTCCATCTCCTTCTAAACTGATATCTTTCTCTCGGCTTTATTTTTAATATAACACTCCGATTTTCTACAAAGAGGCCTAAAATACGCCTCTTGCCCGAGTTTGGCACAATGTTATAACGGTAAAAATCCGTATGAGACTTGAATTCAAGACAATACTAACTGTAACGAACTTCTTAACCGCTATTCCACAGTAGAATGACCCTTACTAAAACAACGTAATAGAGGGATCATATGTACTGCTGCATCCATAGCAGAAGTAGCGTGACTAGGACAAGATAGCCTGACGGAGATCATCCCTCTTCTAATTGGTTTCGAATTCGGAGTTTTTCTTCTTCTAGATTGGTTGCATCCTTAAGACAAAATAGAGTGTTACTTAACCCATAGCTGTGAGGCTAGGAAAAGAATTTTTATCTTTCCCAAGAATTTATGTGAAAATGTGAACATAACGAACTCGAGCGGAGTTTCATTTTCTGGGTTGATAACCGCTACACTACCCACACAACACCACAATAACGAGACAACTAATGATGCTCGAAGTCACTACAGTGTCGTTATCTGAGTAAAGGTTGCTCAAGAGTACTCGCTAGCCCTTCCTATTTTTCCATCATGCTATTTTTATCTGGATAGATATGATTTTTCTACCGATGAAGAGAAAAGCAGAATTTTTTTTCTAAAAAGATTGAAAAACAGAAAAAAAAAGAAAGAAAAAAATGAAAAAGTAAAAAAGGAAAAAAGAAAAAATGAAAAAAGTAAAAAAAAAAACAGAAAAAAAAGAAAAAATGAAAAAAGTAAAAAAGAAAAAAAAGAAAAAGAAAAATGAAAAAACTAAAGAAAAATGAAAAAGAAAAAAGAAAACCAAAAACTGAAAAAAAGTAAAAAAGAAAAAGGAAAAAAAAGAAAAAGGAAAAACATAAAAAATAAAAAAGTAAAAAAGAAAAATGAAAGAAAAAAATGAAGACAAAAAAGAAAAAAAATGAAAAAAATATAATATAAAAACGAAAAAAAAAGAAGAAAAAGCGCATTGTTCAATCGAAAACAGTCTCGGATTTTGTATCGCTTCTCTAACCCTATTCTTGCATCTCCAAGGTGATCCGAAAGTCTTGTCACCCCTTACCAAAAGTAGAACAAGTAATATAAAGCATATGTGCTGGATTCAGTTTATTCTCTTTCATTAACGCTGTAACACATCGAGAAGGTCTGTAGGAGCTCGTGTCGGCCATCTTGAAATAGAAAATTATATGTATAGAGTGACAAGACTTTCGGACCATCCTACAGATAAAAAAAATAGCAACGATTAATGACGAGCATGTAACGAATGAGGCGGAGAGTACAGAACAGTAATGGGTGAGGTTAATGTCGCTCATCAGTTTGTGGCTAGAGTAGTTACTACTTGTTATGGCTGAGGGGGAAAACTTCTAGAGTTAATAAATTCAGCATTTCAAAAGAAACGAACTCAACACGTAGAAATGTTTTACATATCTATAATTTTATATAAAGGATAAAATAATTCTGGAAGATAGAAGATGTATTTGCGTGTATACAGATACCTAAAGAAGAAAGAAAAATATTTATAGTGTTTGCTGTTAGAAAATATGAGGAAGGTAATGCGTCACGAGGCTGGCTGAAAAGAAAACAACTTACCGAGAGAATAGATCTTTCCTGGCAAAGAGAAGTTCTATTTTCTCGTCACTACATTCTAGAGCAAGAGAATAAGTATTTACTCTGTCCCCCCACTAGGACGAGATGTGACACAAGGTCTATTTTTAGGTGGGGACCCTAGCGCGTACACCCGGGACAGGAACAAAAATTCCCCTCAACCCCTTGCAACCGTCGGTTGCGCTGGCCTCAATGCGAGCACCGATCCCTCCCTCTGGTGCAATGGGAGGGTGCGGCTTCGGGCAGCTGTTCCCCAAGGTTGGACACCTCTCAGTATTATTTTCTCAGTTGCCTCCTCTGTCCTTTGACAAAGAAGCCCCTGAGCGCACTCTGTCCAAAGACAGAGACTCAACTGAGAGATGATAAGTAAACGTGTACCTACTCAAAAAGAGTAATTTACACAAATAGAATAGAAAAAAAGGGGTATATTCGTTCTTTTTTAGTTGTCTACATCACCAACTAGAGGGCCTCACCACAGACAAAGTTTAGTTTAACTCCTGTAAGGCTTCAAGAATCGAGTACACAGTTAGGGTCACAAACACTAGACAATCGTACTTGATTTTTGTCAACTAGAGAACTAGCTATTACCCAACGGCGAGATGCCCACAAGTGAAAATTATAGACAATAATCTCAACAGTCAAAAAGGGCCACCATAGACGGTTATTCGACCTACTTGTGGATAATAACATTAAAATGTTTACATTTCAATTCAAACTGGACTTGGTTGGTTAAAAAAGGCAATCATAACTGATGTTCTGAGTCGCATAATTATGCACAATGATGCTAAAAAACTCGAAGCACAAGAAGCAAGAAGCATTTTTGTTTTACTGTTCTTTGCTTTACCTTATAGTCTTTGAAATAAATCCTTCACTACGAACGACGATATGTATAGGGATCAAATTGAATATACCAAGAAATTGTCAGTTTAAAGAAAGAACATCAGAAAATTGTTGGATATTTTACCTTCACAAAAATCTTTTGTATGATTTGATATCGGTCTATGTATGTCCTCTCTCTCTCTCTCTCTCTCTCTCTCCCTCTCTCTCTTTCAAGACATATCTTTACTGAGAATCTCTTGGAGATAGTCAACTATAGTCTTCCAAATGACGTCAGGACTTTGGTATAAGGCTCGCTTATATAACACTCACAGAGACACGTTTAAAGTTCTTTCATGTATGATGGCACCGGGTACATGTGGCGTGCAACAAAAATTGCCAACTGGGAGACATAATGACATAAAGTCTCCCAAGCAACATCTCTGCCTTTTAATTAAGCCGCAGAGATAACGCATCAGTACCACCAAACCGAATATTCCTACAATTGCCATACTTCCTCCTGAAATTGCTGTAGAAACGCTTGTCTATCCTGTAAGTACCTCGCAAACTTGTTACCAGTCATGGAATACACTCTTAAATCCTTTTTGCGTAACAAAGCTATGATACTGAATTTATACTAAGACTGGATTTTTCTGATTGTTCGTCACTGACGTAATCACACAAGATTCACTCGGTGTTGACGTCAGGGTTATAGCGGTTACTAAAATTCCCAGTTATTTCGAAAGTCTCATCAAATGACCAAACATCAGACTGTAGATGTGAGTCCCATGGTCTGGCTGATACTATTCAACATTTATATACATATATGAATATATTCCAAAATTGCATAGATAGATAGATAGATAGATAGATAGATAGATAGATAGATAGATAGAAAGAAAGAAAGCTATGTGGAGATAAGAATCAGCATTACATGGTGACTGACGATTTCTCTATAATGCCCGCAGGTGTAATAGTGACACATGGTCTGAAGATCGTTAAAGACGTGAAAGTGATACTCTGTATTGATTCTGATATCCACTATGTCTATCTCCACTAACGCTTTATCTCCGATCTTGAGCATTCTTTCCTAATAAATATAGCAACCTCTAAACAATATATATATATATATTGTTTAGAGGTTGCTATATTTATTAGGAAAGATCGGATATATATATATATATATATATATATATATATATATATATATATATATATATATATAAAGAATGCTATATTTATGGGTAATTGCGTTCATTATCAGATCTAAAAGTGGACACTGAGATCAACACCGAGTGGCAACAGTTTATTTCATGCTTTAATGCAGTATAGATAGATAGATAGATAGATAGATAGATAGATAGATAGATAGATAGATAGATAGATAGATAGATAGTGTGGTCTCTGTCTTTCATTTGGATGATATTCCATAGATAGATAGATAGATAGATGATTAAAAAATCAAATCTCTAGAATTTATTAATAACAAAGTATGAAATAATTGTCACTTTTTACAGTTTTTGTCCTTATTTTTAACTATACTGTTTACTGCATCATATTTAATATTTGGTGTTAAAAGTACGTGCGTGTGTGTCTGTATGTGTGAGTGAATGTGTGCTTGTGTGTGTATGAATGTGCATGTATGTGTTTCTCTGTGTGTGTGTGTGTGTGTGTGTGTGTGTGTGTGTGTGTGTGTGTGTGTGTGTGTGTGTGTGTGTGTGTGTGTGTGAATAAAATTATGAAAGTATCCTAAGAGATTTTGCTAGCTTCTTTTGGAGAAGCTATTAATATATCTGGTGTTATGATGGAACTTGTTCAATGAACGCTTTTATATGACGTTTTATTATTTCGTTTACACTCGCCATAAATTTGAGATGACGAGTTATCAGATTTGTTTGCTTTTATTAGAGGTAGTTAACTGCTTTTCATCAAAATTCGATTTTTCACTATACACACACACATATACATATATATTTGTGTGTGTGTGTTTCAATCATGTAAATATAGATAAAAATCAATCCTTTGATTTTATACAATAAAAATGATATGCACAATCGAAGTGCGAAATCATTCTGAAATCCTAGATTTCAATGGTGTGTGCCTGAGAAATCATCCGCGAAAAATATGCCGTGAGAAACAGATTTCTTATTTTTAGAAAAATATAATCCATTGGTGTAGATCAGTATCAGTTGATAATCAAGTGTTACGCATATGCTTATGTATTTCCTAAATCTGAGATGATAGGCAGTATCTTAATTACTCTACCACGGCAAAAGCAGGTGGGTCTCTCAAGAACAACTTGGTGTAATATCGCAACTAACAGTAGATACTTTACTGCGCATGTGCGAAGATAAACTTTAAATTAATCAGTTGACAATGAGACGCCATTGTACACGATTTTGATAGGTCTAGATTTATTTGAGGACGTATTATGTCCATTTTTATTTATGTTAATTATCCCAGTAGCTAATCTAATTTCTTCATCAGCGATGTAAATAGGGAAAGTCAAAATTAATGAAGGTTTGTATAATATTTTTTAATTCAGTATAGAAAATCATTCTTGTTGAAAAGTTTACTTTTGCAGGGTTTAAGTTTTATATAATACCTATGTTGTAATAGAACATTCACTTTTATAGTTGAGAGTGAACATATTTATGCTATTTGTTTTTATATGTGGAGGTAGTAAATGAATTATTATTATTATTACTGTCAATCAGTACATCAAGAATCGGGATTTTATTGTTGTTCTTATGCCCGTATGCGAAATTAAGTACGGAGTTTTTTTAAGCTCCTTTTTGTAGCTCATGTATTTCGTCTATTTTTTGACTAAAATAAGAATGTCATCTAAATATCTTAGGTAAATGGAGGTTTTTTGTGGTATTAAGTACGTTATTTTCGAGGTTAGTCATCTATAACTTACTAAATGTTGGTCACAGGACGGAACCCATAGAAACCCCATCACGTTATACGTATATGTTATTTTGATGCTTATAGAAAGGAACTTCAGTGGTGTATATCAAGAGCAGTTTTCTTAAATTATTAGGACTCATTTATATATATATATATATATATATATATATATATATATATATATATATATATATATATATATAAAGAAAAGAACAGTAAGATATATAATCCGGTGTTCTAATAGATATTTTAATTTTTACAAAATAGTGCTCAATGTAAATTTACAGAGCATTAATATTATAAATTAATTGATTTTTGAAACATGGTTAGAATTGTGTAGCGAAAAACTATATTTTAATTTTAATATATATATATATATATATATATATATATATATATATATATATATATAAACTTTTGCTATATTCAATTGAATTGTCTGTTGAATTTAACAAAACTTCGTTAAATTAATTCTTGCTACCTATGAAGTTGTTACATATATTCGTTCGTTTTTTATGTTTTGTGAATGATCTCGAATTAAAATCTTTCGTAGTAGTTTTTGCTTTTTCGTAACTCTGGTCATCCTGTGAAACTGTTGTCTAACGTTATTGAAGTTTTATTTCAGATTAGCTACTCCTTTAAGAGAGAATGCCAAGTGGACAAGAACGAGCATGTTCGACATCTTCTCATCTTGACTTTTAATAAAGTTCACAAAGCTTCGAAAGCTGCTCAAGACATTTGTGCTGTGTACGGAGATGACTTCATCACCGACAAGATTATATGAAATGCTTCAAAACATCCAAAAGGTCAATGCTGTATGTTGAACAAATGTACGGACTGAAAGTGTGATTATTCAACACGTCAATACTCGCCCCAGGTCACTAACATGACCAAACATGCAATTGAATAGCTCGGTTGGAAAGTTCTGCCACATCCACCATATTCTCATGATTTAGCTACTTTAAACTATCACCTTCTTTTGTCGCTTACTAACAATTTGAGAAGTAGTTCTTTCAGTGTGAAGCTTAAAATGATGATTTTTTTAAAGTCAGATTAGTGATTTCTCTCGTCGAGGTATTGAACAGTTAGTGGATCGTTAGCAGGAAGTCATAAACAATGAAGGCGAATACATCCTCGAAAGATTCATCAAAACCGTTTATAAAAAATAAGTAATAAAACAATTTATAAAAATCGAACGAATATATGTAACACCCTAATGAATATACTTTACAAACACGTACGCACGCACACACACACACACACACATATACATACATGCATACACACACATATATATGAGATAAAAATGTACTTTAAGGTATGCTATATTTGTGGATTGAAGTGCTGAATATCAGGATACAGTGTATGTAAATATTTTTTTATGTTCATACGTTCTTTTTATAGACGCAAATATTTAAGTAAATGCTCTGTTTATAATAAACAGTATTAACATTTACCAGCCTGAATGTCCGAGAAATTTTCATAGAAAATATGCATCCATTTCATAATGTGTGACGTCAGTTGTTTACATTTGGATACGCATCGAGCAGATATGAATCTACGAGAGAAGATCATAGAGAATTGTAGTTTAAAAACGGTAAAATCGACCTTGCTAACCGAAACGCTCCTCTGTGGCTCAATCGTAAAAGCACGTTAGGCTATATGACGGTTCCTTATAGGATACAGGTTCGATTCATGTCGGAGGACGTATATTTTCTATGAAAATTTCTCGGACATTCAGGCCGGTAAATGTCGTTAATACTGTTTATTATAAACAGAGCATTTACTTAAATACTTGTATCTATAAAGAAGAACGTATAAACATAAAAAATGTCTTGAAAAATAATTGTCGGACTTTGTCCATTTCATAATATATATATATGACTGCACACACTATGAAATGGACAAAGTCCGACAATTATTTTAAGACATTTTTGTACATTCTTTTTATAAATACAAATATTTAAGTAAATGCTCTGTTTATAATAAACAGTATTAAACAACATTTACCGGCCTGAATGTCCGAGAAATTTTCACAGAAAATATTCGTTCTCCAACAGGATTCGAACCCGCATCCTATACGGAACCGTCAGTTATCTTGACGTGCCTTTACCGATTTGGCCACGAAGGAGCGCTATATATTATAGATTATTATATATAATCCAATAACCATGCTACATTAGTTGGTTCTATCCTCATCAGTTCCTTGTTTTCCGAGGGTCAAGCAAAGTTGAAGTGTGCATACTTTTCTTTTTATAAGATTTTTCGATTATTCAAACCGATAAATGAAAGTAAATAAATACACTGTTTAATAAATAATCCGAGCGTTTACTCAAATATGGACATCCACTTAAAATAACATTTAAGTAATAAAAACTGTCGGATTAATAAATAAAAAATCTATCACTTCTTTAGAAATTGCTTTGTTTACGCCAGGATTCGAAACTGAGCAGATATGTATATTTCGAGAGCACGGGAAAGATTTAAAGATTTGAGTTTAAGGGCACTATTCAACTTTGTTTGTCATCGACACACTTCGTGACCGAGAGCTCTAAAGCATATTAAATAGAACGAAGGTTTTTTTTTTCCTGCCCAGGTTCAAAGTTGATATTTTTCTTTAATAAGATTACTTGAGTATTCAGGCTATATAAATGTAATCCAAGCTTATTGACAGACAGAATAGTGCTATTATATGTACAATATAATTATATTGCTAATAATATTACTACTGAAAACGTTGCAGATCATCTTAGATGCCACGACTCTTTTCTCTTGAGTCTTTTATTTATCTTTAAATGTTCTGAATATATTTTAATCTGATAATAATCCTTTAAAGAAAGATAATTTAAACAACGTTAGTTTCTACTTATCTTTAGAAAAAAAAGGAGATAATTCTAGTTTTTATCACTATTGATTGCTTTATAACGTTTCCGTCTAACTTGAGTCGTTTTTCTTTTCCTTTAGAACTCAATTTGTTTGAAAATTCGCCAGAATATACATAAACTCTCTCTTTTCGACGATTCGTAAGGGTTTTTTTAGTGATATTTAAATTAAAATTGAACAAAACAAACAACTTTGAGCTATTCTCCAATTCTCTTTTTCCTCTTTTATTACAGATTTCAAGAATCAAATCAAGGAACCACAAAAATAAGCGCCATGAAGCACGTTCAACAATTAAATATTGTTTGTGTATTATTGATTTGAAGACAGCAATTGAATTCGCAAAAGAAAATCTTCGTCTACTTCATTCTTTGTTTCATTTATTTATCTCGATGTTCACGAAGACATAGAAAAAAAATCCTGCAATTTCCTTCGAAAAGCGATTTGTTAGATTTATTTTACAAACATAATTCCTGTTCCAAAGAAAACAGAACAAATTAACGTCATCTATGCGTTTTATTACTGTTTAAAAAAAAAAGATTTCCAAGCCTTCTATCCTCATTCTCTATTTCAGAAACAGCAACCGTTTAGTCTGATTTTAATTGCAAGTGTCCATTGTGTTCCCATTTTCTCAGTGTTTACATGCACCGTGCCTGGCATTCTCATCAGCCTTCTGTAG